TGACCTCATTCCCCTGGAGGTCCCTGCCAGTGCTGGCGGCCCCGCCCAGCGAGAGTGGCAGGAGCAGTTAGTGGTGGGGCACAATGTCTCCTTTGACCGAGCCCATATCAAGGAGCAGTACCTGATCCAGGTAAGGTTCCTGGGGCCAACTGCAGGTTCTGGCCCAGGCGGACCAGGAGCCCTGACTCAGTGGCTAGGGGAGACGTTGCTACAGGACCTCCTGCTGACCAACCCTGCCTCGGTCCCTGTGTCCAGCTGTCTGTCCCCAGGACCTGCCTGGTACAGAACCTGAGTTGTCACAGTGGCCCTTCTTTCCATGTGTCATTGCAGAGCTTGCATGGGTCTTTGGATGCTCTGGGCCTGCAGCCTGGGCTTACATGGCACCTCGGCCACTCATGATGAGCAGTGTGAGCTCCTGAACATCCCCGAGCCTCAGTGTCCTTATTCGTAAAAAGGGAGAGGGCAGAAGCTGTCTCATGGGATTGTTCAGAGGGCTTGACACGTCTAACACTCCGAACCACACCTGCTGTACTGTTGTGACATTTCTTAATTTTATGCAAAATGCTTTGTCACTGTGTTCTCACAATGGTCCTAGGAGAAAGGCAGGGCAGGTGAGAGCAGCCTTAGCCCATAGTTGAGGGTGCTGAGGCTCAGACCACCTTACTGACTTGCCCAGGGCCACGGAGCTTGTGAGTGGCAGAGCTGGGGGTGAGCCTGATAGCTCGGAAGGCCTTGTTTTGGCTGCTCTGTACCCAAAGTGCCCCTCAGAGTTGTTGCTGGCTGCCGGAAGGACTTAGGTGTTGGGATCGAGCCATGTCTGCACCTTCAAGGGTGGCTAGAATTTGGGCGGGCAGGCCCCTTGAAGATCCCGGGACAGTCATGAGCAAGCATGAAGGCGTTCTGTCTTTAGTGTGGGGAGGCTGTGTGAGGAGCTGAGATGGGGCTGGCCCCTCACCTGCAGTCTCTCCTCAGGGCTCCCGCATGCGCTTCCTGGACACCATGAGCATGCACATGGCCATCTCAGGGCTAAGCAGCTTCCAGCGCAGTCTGTGGATGGCAGCCAAGCAGGGCAAGCACAAGGCTCGGCACCCCACACAGCGAAGCCAGAAGTCCCAGAGCAAAGCCAGCGGCCCGGCGGTGAGGACACACTGCGAGGAGGAGCCAGAGCAGGGTGCTTGGGACCCCTTTATCAGCCTGCCTGTCTGGCCTTAGGCCAAGCTGATCTGCTATGTCTCTTGCTCTGGCCCCTCAGATCTCATCTTGGGACTGGCTGGACATCAGCAGTGTCAATAACCTAGCAGACGTACACAGCCTCTATGTTGGGGGGCCTTCCTTAGAGAAGGAGCCTCGAGAACTGTTTGTCAAGGGTAGTATGAAGGACATTCGTGAGAACTTCCAGGTATGGTGCTGCAAAGGGGCTCTGGGAGGTGGGCTGTGGCAGACCTCTAGCTGAACCTGGGGACTAGAGCTGCCAGATCTGACCTTGAGATTGGCGGTGGTGGTGGGACGGCTGCCCACTCAGCGCCTTCCTGTCGCCCGTGCCAGGACCTGATGCAGTACTGTGCCCGGGACGTGTGGGCCACCTATGAGGTTTTCCAGCAGCAGCTCCCACTCTTCTTGGAGAGGTGAGGGGGAACCCCTGTGGGGCCCCTGGGAGTCAGCGGGTTCCCAGTACCTGGGCCCACTGCCATCAGGTGGTGCTGGGTCCTCCTTAGGCTGGGGGCCTTAGCCTTTCTTGGCAGAAAGGATGGAGCCACTCTGTCCAGTGGCGGCCACCTGGGCCCTGGAGAGGAGGGCTGAGGGCTGTGCTGGAGCCTCGTGTGTGGTCTCAGTTTATCAAGCACCCGCTCTGCACCCAGATCTGGAGCTAAGGGCTTTACATCCATCCTGGTATGTTTGCTAGTAACTCAGACTTCTGATCCAGTCAGAGTCATAAATGTCAGACTCCGTTCAAATTTTGACCCTGGTATCCAACTCATTTGACCTTGGGCAAGTTACTCAGTTCTCTGAGCCTCAGTGTTCTCATCTGTGAAACACCCAGATATACTGTGGGGTTCGTGTAGATTGCTTTGGGTAGTATAGACATCTCAATGATGTTAATTTTTCTTATCCATGAGTGCAGTACGTGCTTCCATCTATTTGTGGCTTCTTTAGCTTCTTTAGTGTCTTATGATTTTCTGAGTTCAAGTCTTTTACTTCCTTTATTCATAGGGGTTCATTTTGATGATATTGAAAATGGAATTGCTTTTTAATTTCTCTTTCTGATAGTTTGTTATTGGTGTATAAAAATGGAACTGATTTCTGAATATTAATTTTGTATCCTACTACTTTACAAATTCATTTATCAGCCCTCATAGTTTTTTGGTTGAATCTTCAGGGTTCTCTATATACAGTAGCACGTCATCCACACAAACACACGCTATCTTTTTACTGTTTTTTTTCTATGTTTAGATGTGTTTAGATCATAAATATTGGCCACTGTGTTACAGTTGCCTCTAGTATTCAGTACAGTGACATGCCGTAGAGGTTTGTAGCCTCGGAGCAATAAGCTATACCATAGAGCCTAGGTGTCTGGTAGCATCTAGTTTGTGTGAGTGTACTCTGTGATGTTTGCACAATGACAGTCGCCTAAGGACGTATTTCTCAGAACGTATCCCCATTGTTAAGCAGCACATGACTGTATCCCCATTTACAGATGAAGGGACTGAGGCTCAGAGAGGTGAAGTGACTTCCCCTGGGTCTCATGGCTAGGAAGTGGGAAAACTGGGATTTAACCCTGTCTCTTTGACTTTAGAGTTATGCCGCATGGGTGGTTGACTTGAGGCTTGCCAAACCGGCTCAGGGATTGGGCCAAAGCCTTGTCTCCCGTGGTCATTTATGGCAGCCCTGGTGTTTACCACAAGGTGTCCCCACCCGGTGACTCTGGCCGGAATGCTGGAGATGGGTGTCTCCTACCTGCCTGTCAACCAGAACTGGGAGCGTTACCTGGCGGAGGCACAGAGCACGTATGAGGAACTCCAGCGGGAGATGAAGAAGTCTCTGATGGATCTGGCCAACGATGCCTGCCAGCTGGTCTCTGGAGAGAGGTAGCCAAGCCTTGGGCGGGCAGGATCCAGGCAGAGGACAGGTGGGCAGGAGTCCAGGCTTTTGGCTTGGTCTCAGTCCTGCGCTGGTGGATTGGCTATACAGGTACAAAGAAGACCCCTGGCTCTGGGACCTGGAGTGGGACTTGCAAGAGTTTAAGCAGAAGAAGGCAAAAGTGAAGAGGAAGGAGCCAGCAGCCACCAGCAACTTGCCTGTCGAGGGGGCTGGGGTCCCAGGGTATCCCGAGGATCAGGAAGGTAGGGAGCATGGGCGGGAGGTAGGGTGGGGGTGGGCACTGGGCAGGTGTCCCTCCAGCCTTCCAGAGACAAGTAGGCTGGGCAGGTCTTTCCGAGAGACCCTTCCTCTGGCTCTAATTGTCCTCTCCACCCTGTGCAGACCCCGGCCCCCCCAGTGAGGAGGAGGAATTGCGACGAGATGTCACAGCCCGCGCCTGCTTCGAGCAGCTGAAGGGGACCGCAGAGCTCCTGCCCAAGAGGCCTCAGCACCTTCCCGGACACCCTGGGTGAGTCCTGTCCCCCTAATATATCCAGAGTCTGCCCTCAGCCCCATCTCAGGATGCCCGTTTGGGCTCCGGCACAATGGGCCGGCTTGCTGCCATTCGTTCCTACTAGTTCACTCTGACCTCTGGCTGACTGGACTCAGTACAGGTGCAGTGAGCACCTGCCATATGCCGGCCCATGGCAGCCACTGGGGGCACAAACAGGAACACAGCTCCTTTCCAGGAGCTCGTTCATCCTAGGAGGAGCCAGGCATGCAGACCAGCCAGTGCAGCTGGTGTTTATGTCCAGGATGACATGGAAGAGTTAGACAGTGCCTAACTCTGCCTGGGGAGATCAGGGAAGGTTTCCTTAAGGAGGTGACTCTTCATTTGAGCCTCAGAATGGCGGAGATGGGGAAATAGGGGCAGCCAGTGTGAACAGCAGGGTGTCAGCTTTGCGTTTGTGTGGCCCTGAGAGTGAGGCCTTTTTAAATTTTGTGCTCCGCGTGCCTCACTTGCCTCACCCTGTGTCAGGCCTGGTGAATGGCACTGAGAGGCAGCTCTGAAGGCCCCGGCTTGTCACTAGAACAGCGGTGCACGCCTGCTCGTTCTGGAGCTTGGGAAGGAAGCCAGCCCTGAGCCATGCTGGGGACCTTGCTCTTGGCTAGCCCAGGCTCTTTCCTTTAGAGATCTTCCAATTATTCTTGGGGACTCTATGAGGGGCCTGGCCACATCCAGAGGGAGAAGATGGTGACTGGAGACTGAGGTCGCCAGAAGAAAACCTTGGGGCCTTGGAGGTTGGGCGGAGCACGTTATGGGGGAGAGAGTCTGCCTTGCTGTCACGCTGTCCTCACCCTACCACTGTGACACTCTTCTCTTCTGGTGGGGCACAGGTGGTACCGGAAGCTCTGTCCCCGGCTAGATGACCCTGCGTGGACCCCAGGCCCCAGCCTCCTGAGCCTGCAGATGCGGATCACACCCAAACTCATGGCACTGACCTGGGACGGCTTCCCTCTGCACTTCTCAGAGCGACATGGCTGGGGGTACTTGGTGCCCGGGCGGCGGGACAACCTGGCTCAGGTGCCAGAGGGCACCACCTTAGCATCGGCTGGGGTGTCCTGCCCCTACAGGTGAGGCTCAGGCTCAGGAGGGAGAGCGGGAGTCTGAGGACCCATCCCCTTGCTGGAGAAACCAGGTCCAGTGCAGGCCAGTGGGAGGAGCGTGGGGTCGGAGAGTCTGGGCTCCAGTCCTTTCCTCCATGGCTGCCTTTTCCCTGTGGGCTTCACAGCCTTGGGGGTGAGGGCACGGTGCTCTGGAGTGCGGAGCACCGAGGTCCTGCTCTTGGGCCCAACAGCACAGCTGCCTTCACAGGAATATTCAGGGGGAGGGTGTCACAAGTGGCAAGGAGATGGGCTTTTGTTTTTCTTAGTATAAATTATTGAGCACTAATTATAATCTGGGTTATTAATAAACCATTAGCATTGCTTTGCTCATTTGTTCCCAAGCAGCCCCATGAGATAGGGTGGTTATCCCCATTGTAGTGTTGACAAAAATAAAGGCCCAGGGAAATCAGTTGATTTGAGGTCACGAACCTGAGATTTTGAAAAGCAGGTGTTGGGGAGAGGCCACAACACTTGAAGTGGCCCAGAATCGAGAATCCCGGCTCTGCAGGACAGCCTGAGTCATGTGTGGGGTCTTCGGACAAGAGGGGCTGGATCAGCCTTGCCACTGTTAGCCTGAGGGCGGATGAGCTGGCAGGAACCAGTCTGGGGGTGGCCAGGTCCTGACTTCCCACTTCTCTGATCCCAGAGCTCTTCTTGTGGAGGTGGCATCTCTGTGGCACAAGAGAAGCTAAGATTTGAGTCAGACCTCTAACCTCAGCCTGCCACCAGGGTGCTATGTCATTTTCGATTTGTCACTCGCTGTCTAAAAACCAGGGAGAGCGCTGTCCACTTCTGCCTCAGCTGATTCTGAGGACTAAACAAGGGGAATTGTGGAAGGCCCCCAGCCAGCCGCCTGGCCCGGAGTGGGCACCCATAACCAGAGGCTGCTGCTGCTGTTCTCTGCCCAGAGCCATCGAGTCCCTGTACAGGAAGCACTGTCGTGAGCAGGGGAAGCAGCAGCCGGAGCTGCAGGCCGGCCTGGCCGAGGAGTTCCTGCTCACCGAGAGCAGCGCCGTGTGGCAGACGGTGAGGCGAGCAGCAGCCTGAGCCCTGGGGAGGGGTCTCTTCCCTCTCAAGGAAGGGGAAGTGGGGCACCGGGTACGCCGATCCTCACCTCAGGCCTGCCTGTGCCGTCTGCGTGTCGGGGACGGGCTGGTGGGTTTGGCCTGACCCGGCCTCTGCTTCACTCCTTTGGTACCCTGGGCCCATCCAGGTGGAAGAACTGGGCTTCTTAGAGGTGGAGGCCGAGGCCAAGGTGGAGAGCTTGCAAGCGGTGGTTCCGGGTCAGCCCCCAGTTCTGGTGAGTGGGCTTGTGTTCATGTTCTCTGGGTGTGGGTGCTGGGCGGCTGGGCCCTTCTCCTGGGCCCAAGTAGCTCTTCCCCACCGGAGTTCTCAAGGTCCTGGGGGCTTGGGAGATGCTGCCTTGCCTTTGGTGGCCCCACACTGGTTGGGAAGTCAGGGAGGAAGCCTGAGACCTGGTGGCCGTCTGTCATTTGCTAGCTTACCTGCTAAGTGTTTCAGGCCCTTTTCCCATCCCCTACCCCATGGCCCTCGCTGAATGCAGGTGCTGGAGCAGGGCCTCATCTACGTGTGTGGCCCCCACAGACTGGTGCTGGTGGCCCAAAAGCCAGCCAGCCAGCTTATCACCATGGCAGTGGACCTTACAATGATGTGGACATCCCCGGCTGCTGGTTCTTCAAGCTCCCTCACAAGGTGTGTATCCTGATTTACCGCTTGTCCTTGGTGTCCTCACTGTGCTCAGGGCCCACAGCATGCCTCCTGAGTGACTCAAACTCGCTCCCCTTTTTGCAGGAATGACAGTAGTAGTTGGGGCAGAGTATCACCCCAAAACAAATAGCACCATCTCTCTGAGCCTGTTTTCCTTCTGAAAATTGGGTAGGAAAGGGCATAGTAGTGGAACTAAATGACATCGATGCTGGCACGTCAAGTGTCTGGCACCATGTTTGCTACCCCATGTTTGCTACCTGATGGGTTACTTTGCGGGGAGCCAGGTTTGAGTCTGTGTATTAGTGTCTGCTTCTGTGTGTGGCAGTCGGATTTGCTCCAGACTGCTGGAGGTCTGGGCTAGGTGTTGGGCAGACCCGAGGTGCACAGGGCATCGGTTCCCCAGCCAGAAGTCTGCCACCTGCCTCCAGCCCCTGCTTCCTTTACCCTCTAGGATGGTAACAACTTCAATGTGGGCAGCCCCTTTGCCAAGGACTTCCTGCCCAAGATGGAGGATGGCACCCTGCAGGCTGGCCCAGGAGGTGCCAGTGGGCCCCGTGCCTTGGAAATCAACAAAATGATTTCTTTCTGGAGGAATGCCCATAAACGTATCAGGTGGGCCACCATGGGAGAGCAGAGACGTGCCTGTCTGTGCCCCTGGCCAGGGTTCTGCAGTCCTGGGACTCCGTTCCCTCATGTCCCACCCTGGGGCCCCTGACTTAGCCTGTGCTGCAGTGGAAGGGTGGCCCAGCCGTGATGCAGAGGCCTGCTGGCAGTCCTGGT